AAAAAAAATTTCTACCACTTTCTAAAGATATTCTTTAATAGAATAATCTATGCTAAGTGCTTAAATTATAAAAGAAAGATATATTCAATAGCTTTAATAACAAGTTAAATTAAGGAACAGTTAGCATAAAAGTGGCTTAACATTTCTTTTTTTCTCAGCACAACTTCTCAAAATCTAACTATAGTATAACTATATACAATAACAAGATTCTCCAAGCGGTTTATATTTTTTCAAAACACACAAGTCCAGTCACAAGAAAAGAATAAATATCAGAATATTCAAAATTAAGGGGGCTATTCTCAACAATATGCTAATCTAATCTCATACAATTTCTGCATGAATTCTATGTATTAATAATCAATAAATAAACCCAAATCAAAATTATAAATGTTGAATTTAATTTTCAGTATAATGAAGAAAAAAAAAACAACCCCAACAACTAATTTGTCACCTTGCACGGTAATTTTAACATAAAAGGTTTAAATTTATTTATTTTGCCAACATTTTCTTCATTGTATGTAGCCTAAAATAAATAAATAGACATCAGACATCTGTGGAATAAATTTTATAAATAAACAAGCCAAGAACATAAACTCCTAAATTTTTAGTGGAGTTAATTCTGCATTAAAGGGGCTCAAGTTATTAGTAATAAAACAAATTAAAAATTGTGATAAAAGTTTTTTTTTGCTGAAAACGTACTGATGATGACCTCTTATTTCTTCTCCCAGATACCTAAGGGTTTGTTCCCTTGTTTTTAGGTCTTTGTTCAAATGGCATCTCTGTGAGGCATTTTCTGATCATACAATTTAAAAACATACCTCTCTGGCCTTCCAAACACCTTTATACCATCGCTTCCATATCCTTTGGCTTTTTTTTTTTCCATAGAGCTTGTTCCCATCTGACATGCCACATATGGTACCTATCAGTTTTTTGTCTATTCCTTACTCCCAAGATTTTTAAGTTCTATGAGGGCTGGAATTTGTTTGTTCAGTGCTGAACCTCAGTATTCACATAGTAAAATAAATAATTTTGTACCTTTCTATGTTTCAAATCTATTTTTAATGTTCCTTGTCAAACATTAGCATTTTCACACTGCCAGAAAATAGTCATGAAAATATAAACAAATTAATATAAAAATCTGCATAGATTGTTAAAATTTACAAATTCTCTTAAGAAATTATGTACTTAAACTTTCTTGACACATACTACTGAACAACAAATACTCTACCTCATTGCTTCAGGCTAAAATGGTATTTTAAACTGGTCACATGAAAACTTAAAATTACCCTATAGTTTATTATCATATAAAGTAAGTCCAGAGGAAAAAGTTTTAGTGGTTCTATAAAAACTCATATCCTTAAAAATGTTACTTCCATAAATATAAACACTCCCAAAGATTATAAAATAATGAGAAATGAAAGTAAGCAAACTCTGGGGTGATTTAAAATTTCTACCACTTTCGGGCCGGCCGAATGGCGCGATGGTTAAGAGCTGGCTTGGGAT